CAACGACTCGGAAATGGCCGATAGCGAAGAGCGGGCAGGGGCTCGTTTTATTTATACTGCGGAGGAGAAGGCGCTCCTCCAAGCGCTCGTAACCAACAAGCATGCGCGAGTTCTGGAAAGCAAAAAGACAAATAACTACTCGAAGGAGGCTAAACTTAAAGCTTGGGAGAAACTCAGCACCGAGTATAACAGCCAGCCAAACGTCCGCCCACGAAGCGCTAAGCAACTTAAGAAGCGTTGGGAGAACGAAAAATCCAGGTACAAAAAAACGAAGTCCGACGAAACGAGAGACATCCACGCCACGGGTAAGTTGACCATTTGCATATTTGGTAAGCCGTTCCCGATGTGTAAAAAGTAAACATCGGAGAGAAGTCCTTTTCGGCCAGAACAATGCTATGTGCACGACGTCGTGCTCCTTTCCGAGTCTCGTATAAAACGAATTGTCAAAACGAGTTGTTCAAAGCTGTACCGTAGCAAAGTCCGCTTCATACGCATGCAGCGGATCCAGGTTCGATCCAAAGTGGGCCTACTTCTTCTTGGCTTTTTTTCTTGACATATTTTTTTTTTTGTAGAACAATTGGCGTTGACTTTTTTTTTTTTTTTTAAACATTTGCCACTGAAAGCAAATGAGGTCCCCGCATCTTGCCGGAAGCCTATTCTAACTAAGTGCCCAGCATTCAATTGCCCATAAGAAGGTTCCAGGTGGGCCTCCACTAAGTTGTGCCAGATTCTCTCTTCGTTGGGTTCGCTCTAGTCCCCCTAACAATTGTTTTTGTTTTGCACAGAGCCGTTTCGAAAATTCAGTGTGCTCTTTGAATTGTTCGTCCCATACATTGTTCACTCTCTCCAATCTGAGCTTCAAATTCTTTGGTTTCTGTCACAGGAGGTGGACCACGTACAAGCCGGCCGATGAGCCCCTCACTCATTCTTGTGGGCGCGGCGGCAGACCACATGGAGACAGTGGTCACAAATCTCTGCGACAGCGACAGGGCAAGAGACCGGCCAGTGCTGTCGCTGCCTCCGGCTGCAATGTTTGAAGCAATGGTGCGAGGCACTGAAGGCAATGACAATCACGCCTGCTGGAACGACGTGCCAGGTAACTGGGGGCTTTTGGATTGGGACAAATTTGCACCAACATGTCGAAGATGGGTACTGTGAGCTGTAACATGTCTACTTGTATTTGCGACTTGTATCATTTTAACAGCAAACCTGTAACCAAAAAAAAAAAAAAAATGCACCCAAGCCTTTTTTTTTTTTTTTATTGCTCGGCAACATTTACACTATTGTACATATCTTCGAAGTTCCAAAATTGAAAATGCGAGCAGTGGGTCGTGACATAGTACTGTGAATTGAAACCAAAACTAGTGGTTAATAGACCTGTTGCAAAGCATACAGCGCCACGACTGCAGAGAATTTTGGGAAGACTCGGTACAGATCACATGCCTTCTCGTTGCGCTTCCGCGACAGCGAGCGAGTCGTGGCAGCTGCCGCCAGCAGCAGTCGCAGCCATCCGCCATCCCTCCAAACCGTCGTTGGCGGCATACCGTATCTGTGGCAGTGGGCGCGTTAAGTCGGCGCTCTTTTACTCCTACTCCGATGCTCCGAGTTTGATACTCCGAGTGCAGCAACTAAACGGCGCATAGTGTACAGGAGCGCGACACACCGAGGCTGCGTTCCAAACCTACTTGAATGGATCCGAGTTACCCTGGCAGATTGTGTCACGCGACATCAAAAATAGAGAAACGCTGGACGGGGGTAGGTTTTCGACAACCACCTTTACCCTAGAGTTAGATAGCGTAAGTTTTGGAACACGGCCAGAAACTATCAACGAGCCACACAAGCTCCTGCCGATCGTGAATGCGGGTGGCGGAAGCTGAAAATATTTCGAAGATAAATATTAAGGCCTGTGTGGAGCACCATAATCTAAAGCAAGAGAGATGGCTATATTATGAAGTTCCTACAAACTTTTTAATATTCTTGAAAGGTTTGAAGACTCGTTTCATGCACATTATGTGGAAGCTGGAAGGTTGCCTTGACCGATCTTATTTATTGACCATACATTCTGTTTCGATTTTAAATTAAAGACAACATTCTTGCACTCGCTCATCGACGCAGGAAACCCTTAAATTTGTCAGAGATTCCCTAGTTCCATCCGTTCCGTCTCGCCGATATGGCACACGGTCATTTGATAGCACGTCAATTCGTTTTTAGGCAGTATGCATGAACAAACCTTTCCCGCAACGCTAACTGGTGTTTCGGCTTTCCATCTAGGTATCTTTATTCGCTGCAGCTGGGCTAACGATTTTAAGCAGGGCAGCAGCCTGACTGTCTTTTCGTAACTGTCCTGTCGCCGAGCTATCGGCACCTCAGTCAATTGATCAATTCGATTTCAGGCAAGACGCACGAACAAACCTTTTCCTCAAAGCTCGCTGATGTTTCGGCTTTCAAATCGAAGCATCTTTATTCGCTGGGCTAAGCATTATAAAAGGGACAGAGCGGTCCAAATGTCTCCTCATCTCGACAACTTTCTGTCGCTGTGCTATCGGCACGTTTGACAGATGAATTTCTTTTTCAAGCGAGATGCACAAACAAACCTTTTTCGGAAGGCTAATTGCTGTCTTGGCTTTCAAATCAAATAGTTTTTACCTGCTGGATTAAGCACTAATCAACTGAAAAGGGGCAGCGTTCCGACTACGCCTCTCGTCTCGACGGTCTCAGATGCAGCGCAGCCATCTTGTTTGTTTACGTGACGTCACGGAGCGCGAAGAAGTCACTCGCGCTCCAAGAAATTTTCGGTGCATGAAGAGCGCGCTCGGGTGTCAGTCTCCGGTGGCACTCCTGTCAGTTTAGTGAAAGGAGTGCCAAACTCTCGCACTCCGGAGCACGGACTTAACGCGCCCAGTGTAAGCGCATCTCGACAGGTGAAGCTATTCACCTATTTAAATACTTTATTTATCGCAACTTACCTTCATGTCTTCCAGTGTCACCGAATCCACTTATTTTGCACCGCAACCATGGCACAGTTCGACCTGGTTCAACAAAGCGTTTGTGTAGCAATCGACGGAGCCGGTGCAAAGAAGAGGGATGTGAAAGGGGCAGCGGGAGGAAGGACGATGGGAGGGGCGTACCTAAGACTGATTATGCGTCCCGTGGCGCGCGCGGGCTTATGGGATTTTTGCAAAGGGTCTACTGGTATCGAGAAAGCATTGCGGGGCACCTCTCCCATTGGAGCGCTTCTAGTTCAGAAATTTTTTTATCGATATTTTTTCTGTCGAGCATTGATCTGAGATTGTAGGTCTTTTTCCCCAAAATTCCTTTATGTAAATCTAGTGCTTGCGACGCATTGCACTAATCCATTTTACAGCTGCGACATATTTCATGGAAAAGTATGAAAGGTGACAACCACAAGTCTCCTCCCATTCTCGAAAAATATCTAGCACGACAATGAACCACATCGTAACACTTGCACTGCTCTTACGGGCAAGAAAAAGATGGAGGGACAGAAATAAATCCCTTTGCATTCTGCTACTATAGAGCCTCTGCTGTTGTCAATGGCAACTATGTAAACACTGCCCGTTCAGGGAGCAGTTTAAACTGTTTAAAATTGAATGACTCATTCAGGGAAGTATGACATATTAAGATTTTCTGCTAAAGATGTGTTTAAATCTAAAAGCTAAGATTTATTTTGTTTTCCTGGAGATACAATCTGACCAGACAACCTTTGTTGTAACATGATTTAAGGCAACAACCCAGGGACGGGAAAAGGACAACAGCACAACACACGAGTGTCAACACAGCTGTGGGGGCTTGGAGACCCTATATGCACACAAACCTCTGCGCAATGAATTTCAGCTGTGTTTGAGACTTGCGTGTTCTGCTGTCACTGTTTTCCGCAGTCTCGGGGTTTTCGCCTAAATGTTTGTTAGACTTTCATTACCTTGTTTGTGCCCCAACTTTTGTTCGCTGCTGCAAGTTAGCGACAAGCTTGCGCACATTTGCTCTTAACAAAGTGTCTGCCATAACAACCGTCTGAGTGTACACATGTTGTGGTGTCCCCTTTGAGGAAGGTTTATGTAGTGCAGTTACTCTTGTTTGTTTCTCGGACAGGAATTTGATCCCATCAGCAGTCTGACATGGCAAGGTCTGTCGTTAACCAACTGAACAAAACATGCTATCGGGGCAAAATCGTATGTAGTCAAAGCACAACGTGAAGGTTGAAGCAGAGGGACACAAATTATATGATAATGCGACCGTAAACCATCCACAGTGCTAGAAGTGGTGCAGAACATAACCAATCGGACACACTCTATAGTTTGCCAACGCCTAGCTTTGAACATTTCTGCGAAAGGCCCATGTGGCTGTTGGGCCTCTTCCCCTATGTACTTGCTCTTCCCCTAGCACTCACAGTGCCAATGTGTTCTGCATGTCCAGATGCTCCTGAGCCGACCGCCTCACCACTCCAAGAGAGCAGCGTTGGAGCTGCTTGTGCGACTCCGCCGGCAAGGGGCATTACCTGCCCCCGTGCTGAGCTGCCAAGCGGGGCATCCAGAAGAGCTGGAAACCGCATCGCAGCACTGGAGCGGATCATGGCTCCCGAAAAGGAGGCCCGTGTTGACATCCTCGAGAGGGAAGATCGGCGGAAGGAGGCGCACCATTTAATGCAAATGCGCATACTGCGCAACAAGCTTTTTGAGCAGCGACGACGCGGACGGGCAGAATTCCAGCTCCTCCAGCTGGAGAAAGAGATAAAGGTGGAGCAGCTGGCAGCCCTGCGCTGCAAGCAACAAGGGTGTGGGAATCACAATTAAATTTGGCTTCTTGCAGTTTAGCAGCATTCTGAGGATTTACTTATTTATTTCAATTATGTGCGCTACATTGTAGTGAAACGGTAGAACCAAATGTGTTTTGCATATTCGGAAGTTGAATGAAACAGCACACTAGAATTGAAGGAAAGGGCAGGTCTTTCGTTAGCTCTGTGCTGGCCACAAGTCTTTCCCAGAATATGTTTAAGTGACCGAATACCCGGAATCTGATTTAAGAATCCATTTATTGGAGAGCTTACTACTGGATTTGTGTCCGAGTATTTGCACGAGTCAGTGATGGGTCAAGAACGGAGTACAAGCTGGAGAGGAGAAATAGGACGGAAGCTTTAAGTGGAGAGGAGGTTTCTCCTCTCCACCTCAAGCTTCTGTCTGCTTCCTCCTCTCCAGCTTGTACACTATTCTTGACCCGTCATTGACTATGAACATGTGCTTCTGCTTGAATATCCTTATTGGAAACACAGTGCGATGATCTGTGTGCGTTTCAGCGAGCCGTTGATTGTGTCGACAGGGTCTGGAGGTGATGGCAGTACATGAGGACGCAGCCGCCTCTGGCGTCGGGGGACTGGTGGAGAGGGTAGAGCGGGTGGGCATGGCTCTTTTCGCAGCCGGGCCAGGTTGTGCAGTGCAGCACAGGCGGTGATGATGAGGGCTGACCGTTCCGCCTTGTACTGCAGCCGCATGTCCAGGCATGGGAAGCGTCGCTTGAACACTCCAAATGCCCGTTCGACCGAGTTCCTTGTTTTTAGGTGGGCTGCTTGGTACCTATATGGTGCAGCATTGGTAATGGAAGCAACGTCGCAAGATAAGGGTCTTCAGGTGTAAAAATCGCCACTGCTGCAACCATAAGTATGGTTCAGTAACCTGTACAGTGCAGCCTATCCGTGCTAGCTGCATTTTTGGCATTTTCTATTGCTTGCCAGAGGCTACTGTTCAGCATACAGTGTAGTTTTGGCTGGTGTTTTCTACATTACCGTCTTAATTCAAGTTCTTAGCCCTAGTTCAATTCTAGTGACAAAAAGCAACAATTGACACTGACTAACTGTGAAGAACAACAAATGTTCTCGAGGAAAAAAGAAAGACAAAACTGAAATGTTTTATGCTACATACTTTTGAAAAAAAAAAAATAATTGTCTACAGAAAGTGAATAATGCCAGCTTTTTTTGCCATACAAAGGCCCAAAGGTCATGAATCTAGCTGTAACAAAGATTTGCAGAAGTAATAGTAACCAATAGCAACACTGTGGGTACTGCATCCCTTCTTGTTAGCTGTTCTGAATTTCATGCCATTATTTCTTCCAACAAACTAGTACATACCTGCCCTTTGGGCTGTTGGCGACACCTGGATTGGTCAGGGGCGTAAGAAGAAATGACATGCAGGGATAGCCTGCATCTCCGAGCAGCAGGCTAGGGATGCGCCGATTCTCGTACAGGACCCTTGCACGACTGTTGTCGAATATCCTGCTGTCATGCACAGAGCCCGGCCACCTAGCAACGATGTCAAAAAACTGCAGCTGGGGTCCTGTGATGGCCTGTGGATAGGAAGGAGCAGTGCAGGGATGAGCAGGTTGCCATGATATGAACACAGAAGTGCTCAAGCTGAAATTTTTACTATGATTAGTATATTGTTGACAAAGTGCATCTGCACGCTTTGGAAATTAACTAGAATTTGAGTTCTCGCAGTTTTATGCGACGTAAGCTTCAATGTGGCTTAATTCCTATGTTTTTTCAGACGGTATAATAGAATAGAATTTGAGCACAGGATAAAATCTCCCAAATATTTTCTTCCAAAAGTATAATTCAAGGGGAAGATACTATGAAGCATGAGCGTTTGCTATAAAATAACAAAAGCCATCTCGGCACCCAATCAAATGTATGTTTCCAAACACACAATGCATAATTCTTGGTTTTGAACCCTCTCTAGCTGGCCCACTACCACTCTGCACTGTCGCAGAGTGCAGATCTCTTCACAAGTTCTAGTATATATCAGTCACAATATCGCCGAGCTTTCACGTGCGACGCCGCGTCTTGGCGTGCCGTTGTTTTCAACTTTTTCGCTGTCGCTAACAGCACAAACAGAAGTGGACTTACCTGCACGTTGAGGGAGAAGAACCCCTTCCTGTTCCTGAAGACTTCCCCATTGGGACCGCCAGGTCCCTTTATTTTGACGTGGGTGCAGTCGATGCACCCAGTCACACTGGGGAACTTCCCGATGTTGTAGAAATCCCGCATGACCTCGTCGCAGTCGCCCTCCGGGAAATCCACGAGGCGGGGGAAGAGAGTCTCGGCGAGGACCCGGGAGACGCGCTCGATTACGCGGCACACCGTCGGCTGCGACACGTTCACGAGGTCGCCCGTGACTACTTGAAAAGTCCCGGCGCCATAAAATCTCAGCGCTACGAGGAGCTGGAGCATCGGGGACAGTGGCAGGCCGCGACTGCTCTCGTTTGCTTCCAGCGGCAGGCACTGCAGGAGGCTTACGACTGTCGATTTTGTAAAACGATAGCGCACCAGGAACTCCCAATCGTTGAAATGCTCCAGCGGATTGAGCCGGTCTCGGCAACGTCGTCTCGGCACATCGACGTCCTGGTCGGGGTCTCGGTCGTCATGAAGAACTTCGTCCGTTCTCAACACGAAGTCGACGAAGTCGGCGAACGATGCGTCGGCCGCCATGACACTGAACGCACTCGAGTGACTCGAGTGGCCGTTCAAGGTAGCTCCGGCGCAGACTCGAGATCTCGAGTAAATTTTGGAGTTTCGAGTGGAGATTTTGGAGTCGAGTGGAGTTTCGAGTGGAGATTTGTTTATGAATCGCAAAACCACCCTCAAGTCGAGTTTCGAGTCGAGTTTCGAGTCGAGTAGCGTTTAAGAATACGACGGTGAGTAGTTTGCTTTTGATGCGTTTTTATAGAAAAGAAAAGAAAGTGGAATTGGCCTAGTTTTCAGTTTTGGTCTATGAAATTCTACATGAGTAATAGGGGCATGAAATTCTACATGAGTTATAGGGTCATAATCCTTACGATAAGTCGGAAAATGAGCTAAAATATTTTAAATATGCTTTTAGTTAAAATAAACATATGGCTTCAATCATAAACTTGCTGAGCGTCATGAAAAACCATCAAATCCGTCTTTTACAGTGACCTGAAGCATGTGGAAAACGAGGGGATGTATCAAAGTTACCACTCGCGTAACAAGCGCAAAGCAAGCGGGGGGAAAACACGGATGATTGGATTAGGGAGTTTTCCGTAGATCTTTTCCGCTTTTCCGCAACGCTCTCCGCAACTCGCTACGATATTCGGAACTCTACAGTCGAGGCCATCGGCGCGCATGCTCAGTAGCGGTTTTTTTTTTGTTGCGGAAAGGGTTAGCGGAAGGGGAAACGCGGTCTATGAAAACTCCCTATTATCACCTGCGTTTTCCCACCGCCAGCTTTGAGTTTGCACGAGTAGTAACTTTGCTGCACCCCCTTGCTTCTCGCATGCTTCAAGTCGCTCAAAAATCCATTGATTTGGTGGTTTTCGGTGACGCTCACAAAGTTTCTAATTGAAGCCGTATGTTTATTTTCACTAATTAAATATAATCCAAAGATTATAGTTAATTATTCAACTTATCATGAGGATTATCCCCCTATATTATGTTCCGTGGGGACGTGTAACTCACCCACACAAACAGCATTACTGAACCTTTCGTAAATTTTCTGTAATAAATCTGTTAGAATTAAAATCACACACCGTGCATATCTGGAAACCTCTTCAGATACAACATGTATCATTCCCCCCTCCCCTCCCCCCATCCCATTCCCTCTCTCCCTTGATTTTATACCTTTCGTTAACTATACTCGTTGTCATACCAATAAAAAAGAACGTTTCGCGCATTATTCACGCGCTGCGCAAAGTAGTCTTGCAAAATTTGGTTGTCGATCAGAGAAGTGATATGATCTTGATTTTTGAATTCTGAACGTCTTGATAAAATAACATCAAGCTAATTTAAACTAATGCAGCTGCGCATATCTTAATTCAACACAGGAAGGGAGAAATTGGTAACGTCCCGCGAGAAGCCGGACTTTCTTTTATTACGGTTCTTGAGTTGAGCTCCAAGCCAATATTTGGACATGCTTTCTCGAACTCGCCTGTCAAGAGTTTGGACTACTGTTACTCTACGAAGTTCAGAGGACGGGTGGCATTAAGTAGTTAAAACAGGTAAAAGATGTTAGGAAGAGATGTGCATTATTACAGAGGGACATATACGTTCTGTTATTGATTGGAGCTCCGAATAAAGTTTGTTTACGTCGAGCCGACTAAACTAGTGACGTTGGTGAACAGATTGGAATGCCTTTGACTTCCAATACAAATGCCAGATGTGTGCCTCATAATTTGTTTTCCTTTTTTTTTTTTGCGTGCGGAGAAAATGTTTTTTAGGGGTGCCTTAGATTTTGCGAAGACACATTATTCACTGCGTTCGTATTGTTTTAGTAAAGTGTATTTTCTCCTGTCGCGTGGAAGTTAGTAAGAAAAACAAAGTATGGGCTTATCCTCAATATACTATATGTGCATAAAGAAACGCCTCTTATGCGTGTTCGACAATCGTTATGCCTGCCGACGAGTTTATTATGACTACATGAGCAGTATCGATGTAAAACTGTATAGGACAGAAGGATTTGTCGGGACCCAATGCTTTTGTGTAAGTGTTTGCATAGTTGTTTGGTAGAGCGACACAATAACCATCAGTGCCTTTCATGTTTTCTGCACACTTTTGGTTAATAATTAAAATATTTCGTGTAAATGGCTTATGTACCTGTTGTTTATGCATTAAATGTAGTCCTTATCTTGGTCCAATTCGCAATTAGCGTTAATCAATTTTTAATTGTTACATATTTGCCATATAGAGAAAATTGGCTGTTCGTCTGGAAAACAAAATAAACAAAGTATAAATGATGAAAGGTACGCCGAAATAACTACGATAAAATGTGTTCTCGATTACCAAATAAAAACAAATTCAGAAGTCAAAAGGGGCAACAACTTCAATATTACCGGCAGTAGCTACACCTTTTTCATTTTTTTCCAAACACGGCTTTTTTTGTGTGTAAACTCGCTCACCCATCACACTTTGCCAGGAAACGCACTTAGAATTGACAGCGTCAGACCTCATGGGAATCCGACTTCCCGAAAAAGTTTGACGCGACGCGACGAGAAAATGTGTAGCACAATTACGCCTGACACTTCGTTTATGCGCCCGCTCACGTTTTATCATCGTGATGAGGAGGCGAGAATTCCCGGACTGCCGGAGGGGCCGCGCCGCAGCGCTACCTTTAATAAACCACTTTGAAGAAGAAAAAAAAAAATAAATAAGGAGGCCTACATCGGTCTTCACCCAATCTTCTCCACCGAAACGCCCGTTGCCCATACGAAACACTGCTCCATCAACGTGCAGCCTTCTTGCGCAAGGCGCACAAGGAAGGAAGCCTAAACGATTATCCTTCAAATTAAAACCTCTCAATCCCGCCTGCAGAAGCCCGTGCGGGCATCTTTAAGAACTTAGAACGAACAAAACCAAAATGACAAGGCCACAAGATTCTATGAATATATGAGTCTCGTTCGGATATAAACGGGGCTAAGTGACGAAACATTTCGGCTTTGTGCGGATAGGGCATCCAGACTGTAACGCTTTTGTTCCTCTCGACTTCCGATGAAGAACCCCGCGAAAAATTAAACACACGAGCACACAGAAAGAAGGTCACGCGAAAGATAGAACTGCAGCTGTTTTCGGGAGAATCGCTGTTTTTCTTGGGCTGCGGCGAATTGTTCGGAACTAGACGTAGCCTGAATATACAGGGCTCCTGCTGTATAAGGAACCGATGTAAGGTTAGGATGCTGCTGCGACAATATTTAGAGGTTCAATAGCAGACCGAGTCGTCAGGGGCCCATGTTAAGATTGACTTGACAGACCTACTGTATGCTCACAGGTCAATATGGTGGTCCTCGAGCGCACGCGGAGACTAACACAAAGTACAGTCCGTTGCCTCAAAAGAAAAGGCTCGTTCCACCAACCGACGAGCTTCTTGCAAACAGAAGCGCGATGAAATTCGTGTTATTCCCGCCGCAGCCGGTGTTAAGTGCTTGCCGTCGTACACGCACGCGAAAAACAGGTTCGATGGCCAGTTCGGGTGAAGGGAAATGTTTTCTTTTTCTTTCTTGGTCTTCCTTTTTTTCACATAGAGCAGACGACATTCAACTAGGTCTTCAGTCTTCGGAAATACAAGGTGGGGCCTGTAAGCACCCTTCGTGTCAAGAACGATTGTCGACGAAATTCGGTCATTGATAGAAGAAAATGAGGTGGCAACCAGGAAAAGAACAAATTTTCGCATCATGAGCTTAATTCCTTTGCCATAACACGATGGTTTGAGTCTGGGAGTCGACTGAACTGTAACTGAACGGGGAGAGGCACACACACCTCATCGCGTTTGTAAAACAACGTGACAGGACTAACCTTAATAAACACGTATACGCAGCTTTTTTTCTTTTTCGTTTGCTTGTACGAGATCGGGGCACGGTCCGGCTGACACGTAGCCGCGAAGGGTGCAGTCACTTCCTTTCGCATTTTTGTTTGACACAACGTCATGACCTTCTGAGACGGGATTTGGAGCTGTTTCTATTAGAGACGCCATCAACTACCCGAATCGCTGCTTCGCTAAACGCTCGTCTATTAGCTTCCCGATTGAACCGACAATGTTACAACAAAGTTAATTCCGAATAGGCTCGTTTTGCCGTAAGCCACAAAAATGAATGAAAGCCCCCTTTGTTTTACTCCCCTCTAAATGTCTCGGAGTTGAATTCTTGACGGCACGTAATAAGAACGAACGAACCCCCCGTTCGATCATGAACTGTTTCTAGAGCGACCGGTTTTCAGTTTGGGAAGAAGCCATTAGAAACTTTCTTATCGCGACCCTAATTCCACCGCATTCGTTCAGTGCACATGTCCCATTGGGACGAATGGCCGTTGTGTTTCCACGCTAGTGATTTCCATTGCGCCGCTATTTTTAGGGCCCTCGATCGCGACGGCTTACCCCAACCGTCCACGTAGTACGACCTTGTCCCATACCATGACGTTCCTTGGAACAGAACTAGGGCAGCGCGCATGCAGTTATACAGCGACGCAGCACTGCGAGCCATATGCATGCATATTTTGATCGCTCGTATACTTGGGCACACGATGAGGGTCTCCGTCCACTAACATTCAGACGGAATAAGCAGCGAGGAAGCTCGTACGTATAGCGTCCGGGTAATCCGTGCCATTTCCATGCTTGAACAGCGGGCGTAATTATGGCCCCGCAGACCTCGGCGACACCGCCTCGATACGTCTACGCGTCCTCTGACACCACCCATGTATATATGTCAGAGATTGTGGAGGCCCCGATCGAAATCTCCTTCGAGGAATCCCTTAACGTTCAAAATGTTATTTTTTCTTCTTCTTCATTATCTAGGCGTTTCTTGCGGTTGTTTTTGTTGTTTGAATGGCGCTACGATGGCGGACCGGGGCATAAATGGAGGCCCGCG